CCAGATCCCAGGGCTGGCCTTCAGCCCTGACTCACCTGCAGCCAAAACCACAACCAGCACACAGACACCTGAGCACAACGGGAACACACCCTCCAGACATCATCCCGGCACCTCTGGGAGCACTTCTGGGTAGGAATGTGCCTCCCCCTCCAGCCGTGCTCACATCACAGGGTCCTGAAGAATATGAGTGCCTAATGTTGTATCATGCTGCCAGGGGCTGTGGAAATTTCTTCTGTCACAATAAACACCTGGAACAGAAGGATACACCTTCCACGGAAACCCACTTCTCCACCTCTTGCCTGGGGGAAAGTGACTGTCTGGTTAAATGACTGGACAGGGTCACATGCAGCTGGTGCTGCTGGGAAACAGACCCAGAAGGTCCACGTCCAGAGCCCAGGGTGCTTTCTCTTCACACTTCCGGGAGGACCTTGGAGCTCAAGGAAGCTCATTGGGTCCTGCCCAGGAGGGAAATATGCAGAGACCACATCCCCTGGTTTACGCTAGTAACACCAGGTTGGTCACAGCGACGATACTCGGGAGACAGGGGTGACAGTAGAGCCCAGAGGTGATGGGGACCTGGACTCGTTTGCATCCACACCAGGACGTGAGGTTAGGCTGGTTCAGTCCGCCCACCAGCAAGCAGCCTCGTGAGCCTGGGGTCTGCGGTCATCACCAGGACCTCTCACGACACCACAGCTCACCTTTGAGAACTGGGTGATTCTGTGACCACCAGACAGACTCCCTGAAGAGTCTCCTGAGATCGAACCTCTTGACCAACATGACGTCTACAAGACCTTGTGGTGGACAATTTATACACAGGTGGCCCATCTCCGCATCAGACGTTGACCCTGGGACGTCAGGTGTGTTTCACAGCCTGCTGATTCCCCATTGTCCACGCAGGGTTTATAACAGAGGTAAAGTTAGGCAGAGAACGAGGGAGGATGGGCACTTGGGAGGCTGAGTGCAGGTTTGCATATTTGAAGAGGAGGGAGTGGAAAGGAGCTGGGATGGGAGTGGCCAAGGGGCTTGAAGCCTGTGTGATTAAGGCTGGTGCCACTGCTCCTAGATCATGTAGTAGGAATCCAGTTCCAGACGTGGTGAATCAGTGGTGAACCTGGGGGATTAAAGTCAGAAGTGAGGTCCAGGCTGAATGCAGAGCACCAGGGAACAGGCAAAAGTTGATCAGAGCTTCTAATTTTTTGATGCACTTGTGTCTTAGGGAGGAGTTGGTTTTGAACCCAGTGTGTCTGTCCCCTTCCCTAAATAACGAGCATGCGCCGTCTGAGTTAGGCATCCGCCCCCCAACTCCCCACCTCTGTTTGCAGAGGCAGGGGTCCTTGGGGAAAGCCCTGAAGCTCTGCCCTTGTCAGCACCTGCTTCCCCCTCTTCCTGGTGCCTGTTGTTTCTGACTGTGCTCTGATGAGGGCCTCCCTCTCAAGGTTCTGCATCTTGTCTCATTTTGTGTATAATCCCCCTTCTCTCTGTGGGTCCCCACAGGAGTGTGAATAGACCATGAGGCCCATGGACAGCACCTGGAACACTGAGGGTGTGAACTGAGAGGGGTTGGGTGTGATGAACGAAATGGGGCTTCATGGGTTTGACACAATGGGGTCCCTGAGGGCCCACCTCACAAGACAACTTTTCTAATCCCACATCACAGGAAGGGTGGAGCAGAATGCAGCCTGTATCTCACATGTAAACTGCAAGCTGACCATACGACACCCACTTGTCCAATGACGAAGACACACAGAGGAGGGTCTAGGGAAACACAGAAGGATGTGTCCTGGGCTCAGTTCTGGGGGAGCAGGAACAGGTTCTGAGTGGATGAGGAGCACCAGGCCGGGAAAGGAAGGGCAGGAGGGAAGATGGGCTTGAAGGAGAGCAGCTCTTGTCTCAGAGGGAGGGGCTGCCCTTTGAATGGTGTCCAAGGGGTCCCATGGACAGGTCCCCTCCCCTCCCTGATCCACAAGCCACATAAGCCAAGAGAAGTGACACTCACAGCAGTTCTCAAAGAAACGGGTGAGCCTAACTCAGCCCTTCCGTATTTATGAAGACAGGGCCCCTCTACATGCAAATTCCCCTTCAAGCTCGAGGGTAAAGTCCACGCTTGGGCGGTGGGAGCTCACAGCTCTGTCCTCACACAGGACTGAGGTCGCTGGGGAAGGCAGGGCTGTGGTCTAGAGGAAGATGAGACTGTTGGGTCTTCTCCTGTGCCTGGTGGCAGGTCCCCAAGGTGAGTGTCTCAGGTGTCAGACACGGGTCTGTGGGGATGGAAGTGGCTGCAGGTGACTCACAATGACTGATTCTCCTTGCCCCCAGGTGTCCTGTCCCAGGTGCAGCTGCAGGAGTCGGGCCCAGGCCTGGTGAAGCCCTCGCAGACGCTCTCCCTCACCTGCACTGTCTCTGGTGGCTCCATCACAACCAGCTATTATT